GGGGGGGGGGGGGGGGGGGGGGGGGGGGGGGGGGGGGGGGGGGGGGGTTCAGCCTCCCTTGTTAAAAAGTTAATGCGGCATAGTTTGGGGGCTGACCTCCCAATATTTTTGCGGATTAACCTGGAAAGTTCTTTGCAACAGTACTGTAGTGTTGAAATGATGCAGTAATGATGTTAGTAATCTGTACTTGATCACTATTATCATAACATTAGGTTATGCACGTAGCTCCAACATGAAATAGCTTCGGTATATTGGAATCTTTTATTTGAAGTTAAGTCCTTTCCTCAAAAAAACACTAATTGAAGAATTACTAGAACCAAAATTAAATAACTGGAACTTTCCATGTTTATCATGTTGCACCCTCCACCCCTTGTCGCACCCTCCACCCCTTGTCACCCCCTCCCCCCCTTTAAACGCCCCCATTGTTATCATCTCAGTTCTACACCACTGAAAAATTCTTAACCTTACCTTTACTAGATGACATTCTTTTTGAGCCACAAAACGACGTCAGAGATGTAGCTCACCAGTAGCGTCCAGGCCGTCAACAGATACTCTTGAACGAGTGCCAAAATATGCGGAGTTTTGGTAACCACTTCGTTCGCTAGTCGTCGGAAACCGTCGGCAATCGCGTCGAAGAAGTCCGGAGATAGGTTATAAAACCACTTGGCAGTATTCAACGCGAGTTCTTGGGCGCGGAAATACACGCGTGGCACCCAAATCGCAAGTGCATCCCACGCGCGTTGCAAGTATCGCCTAACGACGGGAAAGTAGTCGTGCCATAGTTTGAGCAGTACTTTCGATACAAGGTTAAAGTAGTAGGTGACAAAGCGTCCGAACTGAAGAAAATGCATATAAGATAATGTAAATACCGTCGCTTGCGACTAACAGCCCAACGATGAACTGTGGCAGATCAATGACATACTGAAAGTTCAAAGTTGATGGGGGTGGTTGTCGGTTGTTTTATATGTGAGAAAAAAATCATGTAATTTACATAAACCTTAGCTTTGATTTTCTCAACTTAGACAACGTTTATTTTTAAAATTACTTCGCCAAAGAACTCATAAGATGGGTCGTTTTCTAGGCCATTTAAAACCCTCACATTTCATGCTTTATCAGATATGAAACAATCGACTGTCATATCTGATAAGTACTCCTGCTTGTGTTTTAAATAGTACATAATTACTGTGAGTTTCTTCTAGGTTTGCGTTCATGGCGAAGAAATTTATTTGTTTTTTTTATGGCAAAACCTAGTAGAGCAATGCACGATCTTTCGAATAATATAGAAGACAAATTTTTCACATACCTTCTCCAACAATGGCGGGACGTTTTTGTGGATATACTGTCTGGCAGGCGCAGTGACATTGGCAAGATAGTACAATCCCTCACCAAGTTTAGTCACTGTGTAGTCAGATGCTGGTTCCACCACGTCTCGCACCTTCTTATAATAGTACGGATAGTGTTTTTCAGTCCAGCTATAATGGAATAAGAGCAGCAGCATCATCACTACAATCACTATAATCATCAACATAATCATCAACATAATCACCAACATAATCATCAACATAATCATCAACATAATCATCAACATAATCACCAATACCACCATCAAATCACCACCAGCATCATCATCAGCACCATGACCATTACGACTATCATTATCACTGGTGATGTGGTGGTGGTCATGGTGGAAATGGTTGTAGTGCTGATGGTGTTAATGATGGTAGTGTGACGCTCACGGTGGTGATGATGATAGTGTTTGCAGCGATGATGGTGTTAATGATGGTGGTGATGGTCACGGTGCAGATGATGATAGTGACCATCACGACCACCACATTACCACCATCATGATCATTACTACAATCACCATCATCACCACCAAAATTATCACCAACATTATCAGTTTTATCACCACCCTGATTATCACCACAATCACTACAACCACCATGAAGCTACCATCACCATCAGTACCTTCACCATAATCACCAGCACCATCATCACCACCACCACCATCATCAATTCGACTGCCAACACCAGAACATCACTGCCACCATATTGTAAGACTTTATAACCAGTAATATGTTCAGTACGCTAACCTACCTCTCAACTTGATGTGCATAAACCTTGCTCCGATTGTACGTGTTAACTAAGACTTTCTCAACGCCATACTGTTTTAGAACTTCAGACGTTTTACTATCTAAAAATACAGGACGACATTAGAAGCATAATGCTACAATGGCTCATAACGAGTGACTAGATGTCATAGAAAGCAGTGGGATTTTTACTGTAAATAAAGACAATGCAACATTCCTGTCACTGGATCGTGACTGGCATTCAGTCAGGATGCGATAATTTCAGATTTGTAGTTGTACCTGACTGGTACGCCAACGATTATTGCCGCGTACGTGCGCTAGTGTACACACTCAATGCTCAATGTGTACTTAGTCTTAAAATAAAGTACAGGTTCCTGAAAGTATATTCACACTACGAGTTGGAACAAGAAACACAATTGCGTATACAAACATTACAATCGACTCCAATATTTCGTAGTGCCATCAGTCCAATCATGTTTCATGCCAAGACATGTCAAACACATGCTAGACCTACTGAACTACGGTATTGAATACCTTAGACTTGAATACCTAAAGGTCACCGTCACATGGTACCAGCAAAAGCCAAAAGGTAAGTACGCTGACAGCAACCGTTTCGCGTATCTACGTGGTACGTGGTTGAAAATAAACCAGACCGTAATATCGGCGTACTTCCGGTACGTAAATACGCGAATTATCCTGATTCTTGTTCAGTGCTAAGTGGTTATGGGAAGGGACCGTACCTTGATATCCACGGTGTTTATACATATCAAAGCAAACGACGATGAAGAGAATCAACAGCAGTATTTTAAAGATTTGAATTATCCTTGACGGGCTGGAATTGGGAATGTGCTCTGGAGTGTTTGACATCGCATCAAGCAGTTTCTATGAAAAATAAAGACCGTTAAGTTCCAGATGATCTTGACACGCGGAAAAGTACTGGCACTAGTTGTCAAATAGAAATCCATTTTGTGATTAAAACAAGTGAATATCTCCTGTAATATACTTTATTTCGATTCCATATTTTTGTCAGAGCTATAGTTCTCATAACCAAACATAATTACAAAATTTCAACTAGTTTCATAAACAGGCCTTAAAATATCTTTTACAGGGCTGTCTGACAAAATGTCCGATGACGTTGAGTTTGGGTCGGACATATGTCCGATGACCTTCAGTTCAGTTTTGACTCGGAAATAAGTCTGAATAACACAAATGAATATCAGTGCAATGTATTAATTCTAAACGGAATATGTTATGAAGATATTAAATAATTTGTGTTATTCACACTTATTTCCAAGCCAAAATCAACTTGCTTGCAAGAACAGCAGTAAGACTTCGACAACTTAAGCCCGTTTTCCACTTCACCATTTCGCTGACCCGTCGCCGCCCCGCGCTCGATTAGCTACGTTAAAACAACATTTCCAGTTCACTTTTTATACATGACTCAATAGTCCTCTGATTTTCCATTTAACATACGAGCCTTACTGCTGATTGATTTACGTTGGGCAAAGCTACAGTTCGGTCGGACACCAATACACTCGGGTCGGACAAACAGTAAACCTCAGTTTCACTTATGTCGGACAGAATGTCCGGTGGGTTCCTCTCTACGTCGGACAATTTCACGAATGGGTCGGACAATGTCCGTGACCAACCGATATTTTAAGGCCTGCATAAAGAATAACGAAAGATATAATTGACTGAATACATCAAAATGGATTTCTATTCGGACAACCCGTTCTGAGCGCTGATTGGCTAAAATACGAACACGAGATCACCTGGTTAGTACCGATCTCAAACTCATCAATAATTCATGAGTAAATTAGCCAACCATATTGCTTTATTTTGCCCACATGATAATACTGGATATCTGGTGAAGTATATTGATTCAGTCCTAGGACTGGATCCTCATTCAATAAACTTGTTGAACTCCATCACCGCAAGAAGTCGGATTTGAAATATTACTCAATAATGGACAAATAAAACAAGTCTTGTCTATATGTATCCAATTTAAAACTTTGGATACCTCACATATCTATTTACTATAGTCTTCCATTTTATGGAAGCATAGCATAAAACAAAGGTAACTAGGAATTTTTTTAGGACGATCGACATGAATGTAGTACCTTGCAAGATGCCTGGCAATCTAGAAATCCAGCCTGAAACATATTAAGAAAATTTCTACTTGTTAGTTGGAGAAGGTATAAGTCTTGTATGAAATACATACTGAATTCAAATTGCTGTAATTAACCCATTAAGCTGCAATGCACCCAAAGGCACCCGACATTATTATTTCACTCTGTGTATCGTCAAATTATTTCACTCTTTTTACGCACCAAAGGGAGAGTCTTACTCATTAATGTGTTAACCAAACTATCTGTCCTGTCAACCTATCTTGCAGTCAACCTATGTCTAATGCCAGACGATTTTACTTGTCAAGGGTCTGAGAGTCTTGTGTATCAATGGTATATTGAAAGTATACTAAAAAACCTCACAATAGCGTCTCATTTTTTCAACATGATTTTTGGTTTTTCAAACCACTTTAGTATAGCACAGCTTACCCTGGGTTTTTCACGCTCTTTTAGCTCGTCGTTGTTAACATTCTGAAATTCCTGCAGTGTTTGCACGAGATATTTCTGAGGAACCTAGCAAAAAAACAACATGTGATGTCCTCGAACAGATTGTTTAAAGTTATATGCATTATACATGCATAAAATGAACAGCTGTGCTGAGTGGTTATATTACTACCTGAAATAAACAAGCAGAAACTCGACGTTAAGAGGGAAGGCCCTTCGTCAAGAGTCAGTAGAGACGTCGAGTTTCTGCTTGTTTATTTCAGGTAGTAATATAACCAATCAGCACAGCAATTTCACATTGGTACTACCTACACTGGTACAGACAGTTTTAGTATAAAATGAGCAGACTTACCGAACGGCAAATTGAGTCCCAATGCGCGACAATAGATCTTAACAACAAACTAAAATTGGAACAAAAATATATATACTCAGCCACTGTATTCGAAGTCCTGACGTTCAGAGAGTTAGCAGAAATAGGGGTGAACATTGGAGCTATACGCTAGTGATTGACCGATAATCGGTGGCGGGCCGATTTTGCCTTTCGGTAGACAATCGGAATTGGTAGAATTATCTATATTTCCGATTGTCTAAAACAGATCGTTGAGAAAATATGCACTTTAAAAATTATATACATTACACGTTGATACACATTGCGTTTTAAAGCAATATGTCAGTTAAATTAATGCGTGAAGCATGCCAATTATTAATGGTTTTAACAATCTTTGGTTGCAGTAACATGTTACGTTGGAAACTATCGTTAAAAATTGACATGACGTCACCTTTACTCGGTCGACTGATATTATGACGTCATTTCAAAATCGGTATCGGGTAGATTACTAGATTGTGACATGCATAATCAGTAATCGGTAACTTCCGATTGTTGCACAATCGGTCAATCATCTACTGCACGCAGCTTCATCCCCCAATGCGACCGGGGATGGATTCAAGCCCCTTACAGACGAGCAAGTTTTCTTTGAGAAGTTGTCATGTGTCAAGTTTCACTCGCTCGTCTGTGCAGCCAGCTTTGCTAAATTTTTAAGACAAGTACACTTAGTTAGTTAGTTAGTTAGTTAGTTAGTTAGTTAGTTAGTTAGTTAGTTAGTTAGTTAGTTAGTTAGAGTCTTTATTTCAAGAGGGTAGTACGTAATAGTACAAAAGCACTAATAACTGCATGTCATGCACTTGTCCATAGGTTAACATCATAGATATCTTATATACACTAGATACCGCATCTCTTTGAGTAAAATTGAAGCCAAGAATATTCCAGCGGTTACACCCATTTGAATAAATGGCGGCCATGTTGGTCGTTCCCACTTGCTAATAAACGCTTAAAAACAGCAATAACTTTCATCATTTGAATAGTTTAAAAACGTGTTTGGAATAGGGTTAACTTCATGTTTAAGTTCCGTGTTTAAGAAATAGAAAATATAGGAATCTTCTCATTTCATGGGAACGACCTGAGACTGGAATCACGGCTTCAATTTTTGAATTCCAGAATAATTAGATGCACTATCTAGTGTATATAAGATATCTATGGTTAACATGCTCGCTTTGGGCAAGTGTACCTGCCATAGAAAATATTTAGTAACGTTTAAATTTTGCTCGTGTGCATTTGACAAAGTAATTTGACAATGTAAGTAGTTTGAGCACTTGCATACGATAGAAAATTTGTTGTACATGTGCAATTAGCAAAATAACAGGGCGGATCTAGCCCCATCTGCAAGGAGGGGTGCAGGTTTTCCATGGGGTGGTTCATAAGTGAGCCTTACTCCCCACTCTCCTCTGCAATCTGCAATCTGCAAGGCTACTATCTCAACATTACCATTATTTGAGATGGCCGAATCTGCATGTTAACCGTTCTGTTACGTATTACATTATCTTTTGTTTATAAAGTTTATATCTGCTTAATTTTCTGTAGCAAAGTGCAGTAAATTTGCTTGTTAAAGGGCAATATATTCGAAGATATGGCTGTATATATAACAACCTAGACATGTTTATATATTTAACCATGATATTTAACTAAAGCATTCTTAGTATTTCACGTGAGCTCACAGATCAATTAAATCGTTTCAAAACATCGAAAGTAGAAGTTCCGCTAATCGCTGTTCGAAAAGCAGAAAATAGCTAATCGCTATGGTCAAGCAGATGTTTTAGGGTGGTGCTGGACTTCTCTGGGGAAGGGGGTGCTGAA